GGACCGGGCTGTGCTGGAAACAAGGTCCAGAAAAATGATAGATGCTGTCAGGCACCACTGATACACTCATGGCAAACATCCATTTAAAAGGTGTTGATATTCTGTAACGTAACACACACGTACAACAAGAACACCACGGTACTGCAGTTGTAGTTCAGTTCAGAGGCTGGAACGAGGTGAACTCTTGACCCTTGACCACGGTCCGTTGTGTTAAGACAACTGTGTTTATTTTGTGGTAGATGCTAGCTACTGGTCTCTTATTTGTTATGAACACAAATAATAATAATAAAAATACAGGGTAAGGCCACCTTTCTTTCCAAGAGCTAACAGTTGAGGTTCTATCAGTGAGGACAATTTCACCTCCCACAAAGCTGTCCTGGTTGAGTTTATCCAGGCAGAGCTTCCGATACCCAGCTGAGGAGCTGAGGTGTCTGGGAAGACGACAGGTGAGTGTGATCTGAGGCCCTCTGTGGCTCCTGAGTGATGCCTTGCAGGAAGCACGTAAATGTTTTCTTTCTTTCCAATAAGCTTATGTCCTCTCCACTGCTCCTTCTTCTTGCTGGTCCACATGGATAGAGATTGTTCTGTTCTCTTATCTCTGCTGAGAGCGCTGGGGTTTGGGCTGGAGTGTTGTGATGCTTGTGGAAAAAAAACTGCTACATCTGTGCCTGTGAGTCACTGCCAGTCTGGGCGGCAGGGCTGCTCTCTTCCTGAGCACAGCACAGAGTGATGCTTAAAGATTCTGATCTAATATTTTCAACGCTGCTAATGTTAATCTGCCCCCGAACCGCCACTATAAATAATCCTCCTGTGAGCGACAGGGCTGAGGGAGTCGTCAGTTTGGCCTCTGGGAGGAGGGAAGAGGAGACAGCATACAGACCAAGAGGACCTTGGAAACAAACTCTGGTTTTCATTCCAAATATCAGAACTTTTTGCTTGGTTTAAGTGAAACATTTTTTAAAAAAAATAATTGTGCAAATGCCTGGGTCATATTCTAATTCCTGTTTTTTCTTCCAGATATTCTTGATGAGCAAACATTTTATTTTAGAAAAGAAAGCAAGTTTGAGTTTTGCAATTCTTTAACTAAATGATAGAGCTTTTAAAACAAAATATATTGCTTAGCTGTAGCAGAAGTTTAATTCCAGGATCGATTTTGTGCTGCTGTGAATATGATGCTATTGTGCATTGAAGCCAGCAGAGGGCAGAATGTCAGTAAGGCAAAAGATGGCAGTAACCAGTCCTGCTGCAGAAAGCATCATACTGCTTTCTGAACTCCTTGACTCAAGTATGCTAGAAATATAATGGTTAATAAAGTTACATGGGGTAAGGAATGTGCATATAATTCTATAGAATAAAGCGACGTTAAATCCCTTTGTTTTGAAAACAAAGATGTGGCCAAACCTTGTCTGCATATTATTAGACTCACAGCTGTACCCTAATGCCCTGCACACAGAGTTACAGCACAAATTACAATACTACTCCATCACAATTGTTATCAAGGAAGAATAACCTAGAAAAATGTGCTTCACACTTTTTCCTTTGGATTCTGCACTCTGCAGGACCGCCAGCCTGCGGAGATGATATTTACTGTGCTGGCGGCCCTGCAGGTGGAACGAGCTGGTTTTGACTTGTAAAGGGGATTTGTGTTCTGGCCGTAATCTTGCGCACAGCTGTTCTTGTAATTTTCTCTCTCAGTGCACGTTGGCAATGTGGTGTGACGATAAAAGCGCGAGTGATATTTCACACGTCCCCGGCGCTGCACACTCCACCGTGTCCCCAGGTTCCTCTCAGCCGCCGTGATTGCGCCGCGCTCACAAACTCCGCTGCGCCTCCCGCTGCGACGGCGCTGCCGTCGCAGGCCTTTGATTTCTGAACACATCTCCAGCTTATCTCTTTTAAAGACCTTTGATGATGATGATGCGTGCCGCAAGACTCTTCCCATTCTTGCTGGGCCTTGAATGTCACTTTTAACCCTTCCACTGTCTAATCAGAAGCTCTTTCCTCCTGGTTAGACTTGAATTGTGTCTTGTCTCGCTCCAATTCTTTTCTTTTTGGGTGGGGAGACGAATAAGATATCATGTTCTGAACTGAAACTGACAGCGGTTTTCCGATTCGCTCAGACACAGCTTTCCCCTCCTTCCAGCTGAAACTCCCAGGTTTTATTCCCCAGGAGGGGAGCAGCCAGAGAGAGACCTACAGGCAGTCCCGCCAAGAGGCACAATGCCAGGGCCTGCAGCCCTCCAGCCTGCCGAGCCAGTGAGCTCCATGTTCAGCCTGCCTCTCGCTCTCTGCTGCCTCATATTCGGGCCCGAGGGCTTGTGTCGGGTGTAACTGAACCAGGCACAGCTAGTGATTCCATCACCCTCCCACTGACACCGAGACATCTCCTGCACACTCAGCTTACTTTTTTCTAAAAAAAAAAATGTATGGCAAATGTATGTTGGTGGAAAATGTTTTAAGAACATGCCTCAGAGCTGGGTTGTTCAGACAGCAGCAGTCTATAGGCCGTGCAGAGCTGCCTGTGTGGCGATTTGATTGCCCACAGGTTCACACTGAAGACATTTCCCCAGACCCAGGGAGGGACCCTGAGCAGCGTCCATGTGCTGCTAGAGCACAGACATTCAGAGTGATTTCTTGAAAGAGCCCAGTGAATCTACATGCACAGCACGGATCAATAATTTGTTCTACATCTCTGCCAGTCTTTGCAAAAAACAGGTGCCTCCTATTTGTCATCCTTAAACTACTTCACTTTAATTACTACATCATTAAAGCCCTCTGGCCCTTGTCTTAATGCTGTGCCTGAAGATGGGTTTAGATTTATTACATCGGTCCTCTTATGGATTTTAAATACCTCTGCCGAGACACTGTTTACACATACTTCTGAAATACTGACACCCTTCCAGGCCTTGGAGCAGGGCGCTGGGATCAGGGCAGACTGCTCTCAGTGTCTCACCGGTAGCCGTCAGGCTGAGAGCAAGGGTTGATGGGAGAAGCCAGCGAGGTTACGGGAGACGGATGTCAACATGGGCACAGCTGCGACTCTCCAGGGCACCAGCACAGAGCCAGGGAGCAAGCTAGTGTCAGGCATCTGGAAGGACATGAGGACTTCAGCCTCTGCTGCTCCTTTTGGAAAAGGCTTCAATTGGCTTTGAGATACTGGCTAAACATCCACATAGCATCTGAGAACAACAAATAGAGATCACCAAACCAAAAACAATCAGCTAAATGCTTATAATTATACAGATTTTACTGTAAAAAAATTGATCCTTCACGACTCACCTATACACAAAAGCAGATCAGACGTGTATAAACACTAAATCGGTGAGGGTGTTGATTGGAAACGGGTATTGAGGTGTTTTATTCTGTTGAGTGTCGATCAAGACATTAAAGGCTCAAATAATATGCTCTGCTTGTCAAGAGAACAATGTCTTTTGGCCGTCTATACGTCAGAGGAGTCCTGCAAGAATGTAAGAGTTATGACAGATGCCTTATCCACTAGAATTGTGCTTCACTGAACAGCTGTGAGTGAGCAGGGGATCCAAGGCTCAGAGACCAGTGACCACGCTCGTCCAGGCTCTTCAGACAGAATTCCCGCAGGACAGCACCTGGAGCCTGGTGAAAAGCAGGTGTCAGAACTGTATGGCATGGACTGCTTCCAGCTGAGGCCAATCTGTGAATCTCACTGCTGATCAACCATGTACACAAGTTTTAATCAACATAATGAATTTACCAAAGTCACGCCTCAATAAAGTTAGTGCACCTGCTACACTAAAACTTTTCCCAATTCTGCAGCTTTATAAGATCGCTGGGAATTTTTGGTGCTCAGTATATACTGAATAGTTGTACTGACTTAAAGAAGAATCAGAGATGACCTTAGCGCAGTGTTATCAGCGCTGATATATAACAGCAGGTTCCATCCATCTCCCAAAGTACAATGGACACAAATGTTCAACTGTTTCATTCAAATATTTTATGTTGCAAACTGTAAATGATGTTTTTCAGGCACGCTTTCTCGACCATTTGAAACAAATCTCCAGCACAGCAGTGGTTCTTATGATGGCAGAAATACAAGACCTCCCCCTCCCCTGAAACAGTGCTCAGATTCCAGCATCAGAAATTAGAAACTTCAAACAGTGAAACATGTTGCATCTGAAGTATTTCACTCTGTCCTTCTGCTTCTTATAAAGAAACTAGTACAACTCAGAAGAACTCGTCAGAAACTCCAACTATTGCCCTGCATGGTGCTTGTCCTCTCTGTCCAGCCTGCTGACTTCTCTGTGGCTCACTTGATGGACTGTAGATGTGCGTCTACTTGTACAGCGATGAGACTATTTCAGGGTGGAAACTATAGGATCAGATCGGTTAGGAACATCATAAGTTTCACGTTTCCTTGCGTGCAATTGGTGTACTCATGGATGCAACTCTTTCAAGACTCAAGACTGGAGAATTGCTCATGCAGTGTCCATCCATAAGATAGGCGAAATAAGTGAACCAAGTAATTATGGAACAATAAGTCTGACTTCTTATAAGGTTATAAGCGTTATGAACATTTTTCTTAATGGCTGTATCATTAGAATGGTTGTGTTCTTGCTAAGATTCATGGCTGAGGAATCCACAACACAGAGTGGCTCTTCTGTGGACAGCAAGAATTAACAGGCACAAGGTTTACACTTCTACACTGCTTACAACTGAAGGGGAAAATGTCCCCCTAGAAGAAAGCACTTTGGGATCTTGACAAGACCAGGTGTGAAATACATCAGGCGCCTCCAAGCCATGGGCAGCCCAGACACTCAGGAGACGAGTCCTAGGAGGGGAGAATGAATTCAACACAAACTCTCGTTCTACTTATTCCAACAAAGGCATCTGTCATTATTCTTGTGCAGGGACACAAACTGCACTGTACCGTAGTTCTGAGCAAATCCAATTAAGCAGCTGCTTCAGATGCAGTTAGAACCAGAGGCCTTCAGGGACCAGAGTACTGCGGTGTGGAGACGCAGGGATTACAAAGCAACACTGCCCAGAGCTGCGTCGTCACGCACAGCTGTTATCCTGGAGCATGAGGGTTTACTGACTGCTCAACACCGCTCACTGCTGGAGGAAATGGTGCAAGCTCCAAGACGCACTCCCGAGCTCTGTTAAGTTCTGTTATGAGCCATGAGCCCAGCATGATTACAAATACTTCAGTTCAGGTCAATCTGAAGAGTTGAAAAAGCAAACGCCAAGCAAACTGTTTCTAGAGAGAGTATATGTGTCCCATGCATTTTACCTCTGTCCCAGAAATATATGGGGACATCTGATAAGACCCCCTCCCCTGGAAACCCGGGAGCCTCATTTTCATCTCTGGAACGTTGACCGAACTTGTATCACAAGTAATAGGACGGCAAGACAGCACAGCACCAACAGGAAGTCACTTTAACCAGAGCGGACTGGGAAGAAGGGGGCTCTGCCCAGTCAGTCTACCACACATATATCAAAGATCTGTCTCCGCGTCAGTGTTCAAAAGAACAATGAAACACAGCTCCCGGAAAAACATGAAGACAGAGGTTCCCTTGGCAACAAGGCAAAAAAAAACATTCTGATGCACCATTCTAATGAGGGGAGCCAGGTCCCTCTGTCCCCTCTAAGCCACGACACCCGGAGAGCTGCGCTTGTCTTTAAGAACATTGACGTACTGCTGCACTGGCTCTGCCTGCTCTACAAGTCCAGACGTGACGCGCCTCTCTGGGTAACAGAATGCAGGAGTTGGGCAGTTGGGCAGGATAGCTGGGCACGTAGCCGAGCTGTACCAGAGCTGATCCAAGGCTGCAGGGCTGCTGTTTGCACACTACTGCTCCCTTCCTTCAGCCTGTCAGACCATTTCCCTGCCTGCGAGGAAGCAGTTGCGAAACTTCTCCTTGACCGAGTGTTTCCTGTGAAAGGCACAGGAACCAATATCTAATATGTTAGAAAAAAAAACATTTTGAAGGAGGATATTCCCATGAAAACTCACTCTGGCACCTGGAACGCCAGCTCTCGGAAGTACGCGGGATGTATGCCAGATGTTGGCAGTGTAGCAGAAGGCTTTGCAGAGCAAACAGGGGCCCTCTGCCACTTTAATGTGGGACCATGCTGAGGAGGCTGAAAGATCACACACATTTCTGTTAGAAAGGTCAGGAATCAGAAAACCGTTACTGGGGTTTGACCTTTCAACTCTGGTCAAAATGAATGGAGGACAGTTTGTAACATTTGTATTTTTTATTCCATCTTTCACTTCCTTCTCTCTCAGGGGTTGCGCACACACCGCTGCCGAGCGCTCGGGACACCACGCACACACATCAGGCCACGCACGCCAGCACTGGTTTACTGCGCAGCCCTCACCCACGCGCACCACCCCGACACGCCACCGCACACAGCGCGGGCAGCAACCCCTGACCCCTGACCCCTGCGGCTCTCCCAGCAGCCACAGCACCGCCCCCCTTCTTCAAAGAACCGCACAGAGCAACTCCATACGACAATAAACAGCAATTACAAAACGGAAAAAAAGAAAATCAAGGAGTACACAGCCGCTCTTGTGCAAGAGATCAGCTTCCCTTTCTGGGGTCACCAAGGCCAATTATTCTGTCACTAAAAAGGAATTCTGACAACTAGTTCTTCCAATTGTTCTATAAATGGCAGGCAGATGAGGTCGTCTCCCGGCCACATCATTTCACTGAGAAAAATATGTGGAGAAAGCCCACAGTACACTAATCAAAAACCAAAGGGGACAATGCTGCATCTTTAACATTTTTTGTATCACTTACTACAATTTTAATCCTTCACACAGAGAACTTCAGTGTCCCAAATAATTTTTGACTAGTGCAAGAAACTACGTGCTACACTTTGGTTATGAATGACACTGTGATCTATATACGGTCTAACTTTTCACTGAGGAATTCTTCTACGCTGTCTGTGTTCCACTTGAGGATGCTGAGCTCTTCAGCGATGTTCCCATTGTCGTCCAGGAGCTTCAGTACAGGGTCGGAGCCTCGAACGTACTGTCGGGAACAAAGGTGAAAATGCTTAAAAAAAGAACTCTGCAGTGGCCCTGGCACACACCAGGGTGCGAGTCGTGTTGAGAACAGTCAATGACCCGCAGTCCTGCGTGGTGTTGATGCAGGAGATAGAGGATAACCAGGCATCTACTATACCGGATTGAATCATCATCAATATCAGCTACTTTCGTTTAAGGGTTCCTGTTTCCTCGTGCTGTTTCTTTTAGAAGGAATGTGATGTATATACAACATCAATAAAATGTGAAAACAGAGAGAAAGGACTGTGATACAGGAAGACTTGCTAGACTGGGCCTGAAAATCATCAGTCTGAAATCCTTTTTCTTCTGTAATCACCACCGCAGAGACTTACAATTTCTTTCATTTTACACGGTTTTTAGAGTGCACACAGTTAACGGTACAAATCAATCAGCTTTTTTCCAGTAAATGACCTGTGAGGTACTGACTTCATAATTTATCATATGCTGGAGATGCCAAGTCATTTCAAACCTTCGACGCTCTGTTGACTGCATACAATAATTTTCCTAATGTGATCAGTTTAGAAATGGGAAATTCTTATTCTGGTCACTTTAGCACTGATTTGCCAAAGGCCTTGATTCAGAAAAATCAGTTTGGAAATTCTGCCTTGTGGCGAGCTGAGTGTTGTACAAGACAAGGGCAGGAGCTCGGAGCAACCCGTCTGCGATACCCATCGACTCCTGTATCGCTGTATCTGTCCCTTTGTCTGACTCCAGCAGGACATATCTGCATCAGTAAGAACCAACCTATTATCCACAATCTGTTGACATCCAGTGTCTTGCTGATTTTTTTCCTTGGCAACAATGAAATAATAAATATCAAACGGAATGCGTTTCTGGATTGGATAGCACGTCTTGTCTAAAAAGTCTAAAAATGTAGCACTGTAATTCTACCAGCCAGGAAAGACATACAGATCTGTATCGGATACTTGGCAGACTTGGCTGGAAGGGAGCGTTCCAGTATGACCATGATCCAAAGCACACATCAAAACTGACACTGCGACAGGGCAAGAACCTGCCCCTCAGACAGAACCTCAGAACCACATGACAATACAGGAGATGCCCAGTCAGTGTAATCCCTACACTACAGGGGTGTGAATAAATACTAGCCTTGCCCTTTCTAGACGTTATGATTTTGTTCTGTGCAAATCTATTAGGATCAATGCATGACATTTTCAATATTTTTTTGCAGGACACTATCCAATCCCAAATGTAATGCGTTTTGCTCAGGGTGCTATGAATAAATATAGAGAACACTCTATATTAGAATCGGTTTTGATGTAGGTCTTGGCCTTTAATTCAAAAATACACATTTATTTTTTTGTTAAAAGCCCAAGTGCTATTTTCTGATGAGCAAGACGGTGCATCAACCCAGGGAAAGTAACTGACCTCAGTTGTATTACCAGAACGTATCAGAAATGCTAATGGATGGATGGAAAAGCTGCAATATCTTACTCAAAACAAACGGGCAGAAGAAACTTGTTTGGTCTGAAAGAAAATCAATATTCTCACTGCATTTCCACAATCGCAACAGATGCTTTGGGATCAGGCTTAAATTAAGACTTCAAGGACTCAGTTTCACTGCTCAAGATCAGTGATAATTTTAGACTTGTTTACTAAAATGTATGCGTTTAGTGCACGGTTAGTGCATAGTGGGGCCACCGGTAAAAAATTGCATAGTCCACGATCAGCAATATTCCTATATTTGCTTGGCTAGCTCAGCATTTGTAAAAATTAGGGTCTGTAAAACCACTGGCAAATGTTTTAGACAGTAGGACTTCATATTACTCCAATACTCCAATGTTCTGTACAGCCCTTCTGCAGCCTTGCTTTCCTGTGGCCACATCAATTCATGGCCAAGCTGTGCATATGTATATGCACACAGCATTTATCAGCCTTCTACAATCCAATGTGTCTATTCAATTACGGAAGGTAAATTGAACAGAGTGCCTAATCTGCTTTCCAGATCAGGCTATTTCAACCATAATACAGAAGAAAATGGAAAAGCTCCTAAATATGCTGTCATAGACCTAAAATGCCGGAGAAAAAGTTGAAGAATTGCTGTTATGTTATTCAGTACTGAGTCTCGGCCAAGTGCTTTACCAGAGTAATTCTCGTTATCATGCTCTTCCACCTTCTTCAATTAAGAGCTTGGGTAATTGCATGTTGAGGCAATTTTTATTGACAATTAAGTTATGCAGGCAATGCTTTCATCAAACTTGATAGAACCTTTTCCCCCCCTGAAAACCACAGACATCCTGAACCCTTACTTCCAGCTATTTAAATAAATCTTATCAGTTCACATCTCTCTGCCTGGCTGCCTCTCTGAGTTCTCAAGTGCCAGCCATCCTTCACTGTCTCTTTAATGAGCAGGCCCAGCTCTGAACGTGTCACTTCAGCGACTGTGGCTTTCTCCTCTGCCTACATCCGATACAGCTTCATACAGGCGCCTGGAGCTCAGGGCGGGCAGCTCCACCCTGCTCTGGCACCCAGAGTTGCACACGACTGGCATCAGGTTTCTGCCAGCTTCACTGATCAAGCACCAGCACCGCGATCTCCACTGAAACACTTTGTTTCCAACGCTCTTTTAGTCCTTTACAGTGCACATCTGACCGTTTACCGTGTTCATAGAGAAAAATAAAACATGCACTCATTTAAGGACTACAGGCATTTGATTTTTATTTGTTAACACTTCTTACCTTTATTTGAAGGCCCTTGAACATTTTAGGCTTGTCACTCCTGACAAAAGCTATGAAAAGAAATGGACAAGGTTAGGCACGGCAGACTGTACACTGGCTGCAAGAGAACAAGCCTGCTGTGGAGGGAGATGTTTCCTCGCACATGCACCATGAGAGCCAATTCAGCAAACAGAGAGAAGAACTCCAGACCAATCACGGTGACCGAAACACGGCCATCCCACAGGGTGAAAACTGTGTAATTGCTCCGTCATCTAACATCATGACACCCTCTCATCTAGCCCCAATTCTGGGTGCTCTGAGCTTTCAGTCCATTACCAATGGGTCTACCGCTCTGTAAATATACCGTAACAATTAGCTGTAAAACTACAAAAATAATTAATTTTTAATTCTAAGTTTGTATTTTCAAACGCCAAAATGAATATCAGAAAAAAAAAGAAAACCCAGAAGACCGATACATTGCTCCAATGTGGATTTTGTTCCCAATCGAACCAAGCAGTACTCATGTGAACAGCCATGACTCAGGAGCCCAGAGCGCTGAACAGTCAGTCGGAGAGCTGGGACCGCTGGCTGCCTGAGGAAGAGACGTCACGCCTCCCCTTGGGGCCGAGTTAGAAAGGTAAAGACATCTGGGCTCCGTGGACCAGAGGGACTGCAGGGAAACTGGACTGTCACCTCTGAACAAAGCCCTCATGTACCCCTGAGGTGGGTGGAGCTGTGCTATAACGCCGGACATGGCTTTTCTGAACTTCATTTCTCACCAACAACCAAAACGACCATTAGAGTGAAATCGACCCCTCAGCTACAGCTGACTTGCTGGGCTGCAGTGTGGATGGCCTGCAGGTGGCAGGCTCTGTGATTCCTTCCTGAGCAGCCCCAGGAGCCCAGTTCTGCCCCTCGCCGCCCACACCTTAAACAGGAACCCGCCAGCAGGCCGCCGAGGAAACAGAGCGCCACTCAGAGCAAACTGCCCCTTTCCTCTGTGCAACGACAGGCCGCATTCTCAGATACCCCTTCGGCAGCAGACAGGTAATCTGCTACAGCGAAGACCTTGCAGTGGCCAAGGCCTGCGAAGGAATAATCCAGGGGTACTGTCTGCCAGGCAGACACGCTGTCAGGAGCAAATAAGAGCTGCCAGTCAACACGTGCCTCACAGCAGGGCTTGGTGGCAGCTGATTTAAATCACCATCAGGATTCAAACGGGGATGAATCCTGGGGTACGAATAAGGGTCAGAAACTCCCAGCCTTTACATTTTCATCTCATTTCATTCTCAGTTTTCTTTCCAGGATTACTTCAGTCCTCAGCCTGGGGGACAAAACTGTCTCTATTCAAAGGTGGTGCCGTTTCACGCTGCCCAGACAAACAGGGCCCGCAGGCGGCACTGCGCAGCTCGTGCTCTCTGGGGAGCTAGTGTTGCCTTGCCTGGTGAAGTCAGCAGGAAAACTGATCCTCAGAGGTGCCAGCAGACACAGGAGCCGGACTGAAGCGAGGGTTTCTGCCACCGACAGGCCACACAGCTCAATACAGCCCAAAAATACCAAGAGCACGTGACCGTCCTGTGGCTCCTCTTCCACAGCGGGAGCAGGAGAGCTCCCGGGGAAATGAACCCTTCTAGCCAGGCTTTGGGGGGGGCCAGGATGGAAAATGCAAGCCTAGAAATAAGAGAGGCCGCGGAGCTCAGAGAAAACTGCGGGGCGCTGTTTCTGCCGGTCACTCCGGCTGGCCAAGCCTCCCCGCTCCCCGCAGCCCGGGCTGAGGAATGAACTTTGAGCTTTCATTAAGAGGTCTTTAGAAAAATAATACATCAAAAAAGGTTGAAAAGAAAACTTGTACACTGTAAAAAAAAATTCCAAACCCATAAAGCTGTCAAGGCGCACCAGCGGTCTGGCCTGCAGGAAGATCGATTTTCTGAGCTGCCCTCCCCCTCAGTCAAGGCAGCTCACAGCAAGAGGAGAAAGCGGCTGGAGAGGAGAACATAATTCCTCTCACACCTTCTTAAACCCTTACTGCAGCGTGGAGACGCAGGGTAATGGGAAGCATGTATTTCAGTGATTTCTTTTTAATTTCATCCGGCAGCACACTGTGGCGAGGCGGAGAGTGCAGGAGCTCACGATCTCCTGCGAAGTTATTAGTGAGGGCAGGAGACCCCGAAAGGACGCACCGCTGGTTTTGGGAAAACGCACTGCCCCTGCGCGTCAAGGCCTGGTTTAAAGAGATGTTTGAAGAACCAACAGGCCATCTGCATTGCAAGTTTCATTTAAAATAATACAACAGAAATTCATCAAATCTACAGCAGACGTAGGAGACATCTTTAATATCAGGGTTGAAATCCAAGGATTAATATTAGAGCCTTTAATATAACTAGAAGGAAAGGTTAAGGAAGGTTCTGTACATACAGAAAAACTGGCACCTCTTCTATTAGATAGAAAACAATTTCACTTACCCTGGACCTGAGGGAACCTCCCCAGTTTTCATCCACAGACTTCCAGGATAGCACCAGCATAGTGCTGCCGAAGAGAAGCAGGAAATGCACGATTAGTCCAAAGCCAACTGACACCAAGATGAAGACTTAAGGGCCTAGCAGCTAGATAATTGACCTCAGGAGATGTTTTAACAATTCATGTGGATCAGGATGCGTTGATCCTGCTTCAGGGGAACAGAGGATTACAGGCTCAAGTCGAGGAGTCTCCTGGCTCTGACCAGCCTGCAACAAAGCCCGACTGCAATACTGCAGCTACAGCCCAAAGACGTGCACAGCCAGTCTATCACCTGGCTGCAGTGGCCACGATCGCAGCCTCTTCATACTCCAGCAAACCCTCTTCATATCCATCAGCATGTTTACGGCACAGGAACTTGCCATTTTCATCACACCCTCTTGGGTGGTGGGTGATTTAAATGTCTCATTCATTTCTTTTTAAGACAAGGGAGGTGTTTCCTCAGGGTCCTGGGAAGCCAAGGATGTCAAGTAGACATCTGTCCCAGGACAGCAGTGGCACAGGTAGAGATACCAGAGTGGTAAAATGCCATTAGATACAGGGGTAAGAGACTAGCAAATCATTATAATTTCCAACCAAAATACACCAATCGGTGATAAAGCTAGTTCTGCCAACGACCTACCCACAGTTTTCCTCCAAATAACCAGTCACGTCAAAGTCTTAAGCTTCCCTTGCCCTAAGCATGCTGTATCGACACATTTCCATACCCAGGCAGGCAATACATTCACACCTACTGTAGAGACCCAGATTAAACCACAAATACATTAATAAAAAAAACATTTTTGCATCATATCAATAATAGAAATTTGAACAATGCATGAGCTCCAAAGTGAACTAGCAGTAAAGGAGGGACAAACAATTGGCAGTCTGCACCCTGGGGCTCAAGATAAAGAATTCACCGTCTTGCAACCATTATCCTGGGGACACAATTTTAAAGCATGATGATTGCTTGCAAAAAATAGCAATTTTATGGCAGCATCTGGGAAGAGTTAGATAAAGGCGTCTGTGTAACGGGGAGCAGGGAATGGGTAATGGATCATCAGCAACACTGCCTCTCTTGTGGGACAGGTTCTGGGCCCTGCAGCAGCCTTGAGAGTCAACGGGAACATCCAGAATCATTTTCATTTATACGCAAAAATAGAGTGCACATGCAACCCTTTAGAGCCTCAGGTTGTTCAGATTAAAGCAGAAAAGTACAAATTTAACAGCAACATAAATTACCAGAAACACCACACCCTTTAAATTACCTTGAAAATTCTAACTCTGCGTCTTAAGTTAAAACAGGAGTTGATGGGTTAGTATTTGGATTTATCCGCACAAAACTCTAAAAGTCAAGAACGACCGTGAATTGAATAAAAAATAAAAGATGGATCTTTTGAAAGCTAAAGTGTCTCAGTAGGAGGGAGATTCTGTGCAGTAAGATAAAAGCCCAGTTCCACAGACTGAGATGCTTGGCTAAAGGGGAAAAACACAAAGCTGTTGTGTTCTGCACTGCTGAAATTTTGTGACAATGCAAAGCAGTTACGTTAATAGCTCTGAACAAAGATGGCGTTATGGGCTGTATTGCATCCTCTTGGGCTTTGGAAGGATGGCACAATGGCCCTGTTGTTAACCAGAGCTGTTAGAGCTGCCTCAGCACAAACCACAAAGGAAAACCAGCATCTAGAACATGTGCGAGTTAATTCTCTCAATCTGTGAAAACGCACAGATGGCACAAATCTGACCCTCCTCCGTTTATCAATCAATGCTGCGGAAATGTAACAAAAAATTTTTTGGCAAACCCTGCGAAAAACTGAATATCTAAAAATGTACGAACAGACAGAACAAAGTACATTCAGCAACAGCTGAAACAATAAACAGTCCAGCAGAGCTCCTTGACTCATCAGACATAAGAATGCCGCATGTTTAACAGTGAAAGGCAGCTTTAAGTCACCCTCTCCATCTCAAATAGCTTACCAATGTTTAACAACAGTGCTGTTTGAAAGAGTAGCAGTGTTATTTCACTCTGGGCCTCTATAGCCTGGCCTCCTGGCAGCTGATCCAACAGGAACTGAGCTTTCTCAGTTCACTCCCTGGTGTGCCGAGGACAGGGGCTGCCGCTACAGAACAGCACCGGAGTCACACAGGTGGGGCTGCACTTCACTGGCAGGTGAACAAAATGTGAAGTGCTCTGGATCCTTAGGGATAAGAAATGTTGCAAGAAAGCAAAGAACTAAAGTAACTCTATGCTGTTTTCTTTCTAAACCTTTAATGGCAGATGGTTTCAAATCCAAATGGCAGGTAGGTTTAAATATATAGCTCCTTTTAATGCAGTCACCTGTTGGGACAGAAACCACTCCATTTAAGATCGCTGCCTACCTGATGAAGGGACCTACTTTGGGATTTTGAGAGATGGGATCATTCTCAAAATTACCAGTGCACAACTCCCACACAAACCGCCAGTGCTAATTCAAAGTGACTAGCCGTCTTGAGCTTTTCTGCTCTGAGGTTTTTCCAGCCTTCAGCCAGCTGACACCCACACTCAGCAAATACAATTAGAACTCAGAATTTGTTCCAGTCTGTGTTTTAATCTGATTTATTTTGGTTGATTATAGTAGTTAAGGTTGTTACAAATTGCTTAGGAGCCTGCATTGCTCTGATGCCCCATGGGCCAGATTTACAGCAGCTCTAATGTAATATTCCTTCTTTTCTTTGAAGTGACAAAGTGTTGACGCTTCACACAGAGGAGGAAAGAAAGAAGAACTAAAACCCATCGGTCATACCTCCATTCCTTACAGCTATTTTAAATGTTAAGTGCTACACATTCTGACAAAAAACTGTCCCGAGTTATGCAAGACGGCAAAAGAGTTTTGTTAAATTACCAGAGACAGAGGAGGATGGTTTGAATGGCAAGCACTGCTTCAGTCAATAAGTTATCTAATACCACAGTGCTTGTTCATAATGTATAGGGGAGTTCCTAAAACTCCCTTAGAACCACAGCAACACCAACCTCCTCCATCACTGAAAACGTGCTCAGGCTCTCTTGACCAAAGACACCACTTTATCACATCACATCCCTCCCGGGTCTCTGTGTATCTCTGTGTAGTTCTGCTCTGCTGTTTCTTCAACACAGGGCGCAAGATGACACCTCCCCTGATGTCTCACTGAGAAACTAGAGGGACTCTGGCCTGCCAGCAGACAGGCATGCTGAAACGGGTGTGTGAATTCCAGAAGAAACGTGTCACACTGATACAGCCAGGGCAGAGAGGTCTTTGTATTTCAGCATTTTTGAAAACATCAGGTGTTTCCATTGTAACCCCTATCAAGGTGCTGTTTGCACCCCTTGCCAATCTCCCTAACGGAGGCACCTGCACTCCTGACCTGCTCAGGACGAGAATCACCTCAGTCAGCCCGAAACACGACATTAGCCAGTACAGGCAAGGACACAACATCATTTCCCATTGCAAGCAATTTTCCAAAAACAATTTCTGAGATGGTTGACTTTTGAACATTTGAAAAACTCCTGCTCACTGAAGAAACCACGACCGCATGAAACAATGGAACACGTGAAATGGACAATGGAAGCAGTACATGGTAGACATGCATTTGTCTCTGTGCATCAGTACGCTCCTTCCAGACAATGCTAACCGGACCTGAAAGTGCCCAGATCATGCTCTTGCACTGGCAGATCGCAGGGACACTGTAATTAATCCTTCTAGAGCTGCTGCACGTCAGGATCATTAAATAATGGGAAACTGCATACGGAGGAGGTCGGAGAGCAGTGATGGACGGCACCATTTTATGGTCTGCAAGCCATCAAACTCCGCATTAAGGAATATTTATTTCTTTTTCAACTTCTCAAAAGAAATTGGTATTCTGCTGGATTTATTCCAAAGTATCTAGCATTTTTTTCCGAGCAGTGCATACAAATTGACTTGCCACTCAGCCTCCATCCTGACGGCAGACTTCAGAATTCTGCAATCTCTCCACGCACAGCTGTGGGGATCAAGGTGAATTTAAAGCTTTCCTTCCACACGGGGTAATGGACTGCGCTCAAGGAAGACAACGCCAACATTTGATGCCGGTGATGAGGAGGAAGTAACAATAAAAACCTTCAGCAAAGAAGATGACATTTGGAATGCAACTGCCCCAAACGGAGAGGGCCGATGAAAGGGGCTGTGATCCGCACTGTGGTTCTGTGTGCAAACAGTAACGGTCCTCTGTGGGTCTTCATCAGGGCTTCTCAGGGCTGGTCCTGGTGACCCATGACCACTGGCTCACCATCCATCTGCTCTTGGCCACTTTATCATACTCCTGAATGATCCAGTGCCAGTCGATTACACTCCTTTAATTGATTTGTGCGTCTAAAAAGCGTCTAAAAAGCTGCAGATTATAATTTCTTAGATCAACTAAGAATATTTTTTAAAAAGAGGTCAATTTAAAAGATAAAATAATATTTTTTAACTACTGTCGTCGTGCTGCTGGGAGGTTGTTTCTTTTTTTTGGTTTGTTTATTCAGGAGGAGAATTTCAATGGAAAGACAAACCAGCGAACACTGGGATGAGGAAGACTTGGACTGGGAAGTGCTAATCTAAAGCTTAATTTCTAAAGCTTAACTCTATATACAGCATGGAAAACAAAAACCATCAGACACTGCACAAGGTTCCTGAAAGCCCTGATGTCACTGTTGCTATTGGAGGCCCTCCACTGTGTTCAGAACACACTGGCACATCACCAGCATGGCCACAATCATGTTCTACTGGAGCATTCAAGCTTTAATAAAAAAGATGCACTGCAGGAAATATGAAGATAAACTGGGATACTACTGGGGGGGGTTGGATAATGTATTTCATCGAATTAAATCATATATTACAGCACAAAAATAAAACTAATACCTTGAACAATGGCGCAACAGAACTGCAATAATGCTGGATACTATTTCTGGGGCAGCAAAAAACAGCTGAACTCGAGACTCCAAAGGCCCGTGAACATCACCAGACTCCCACAGACAGCTGGTCCCAGATATAAAGAAA